ATTAAGTTAAGGACATCAATAGATTGAGTTAAGGACATCAATAGATTGAGTTAAGGACATCAATAGATTGATTAAAGGACATCAATAGATTGAGTTAAGGACATCAATAGATTAAGTTAAGGACATCAATAGATTGAGTTAAGGACATCAATAGATTAAGTTAAGGACATCAATAGATTGAGTTAAGGACATCAATAGATTGATTAAAGGACATCAATAGATTGAGTTAAGGACATCAATAGATTAAGTTAAGGACATCAATAGATTGAATTAAGGACATCAATAGATTGAGTTAAGGACATCAATAGATTGATTAAAGGACATCAATAGATTGAGTTAAGACATCAATAGATTAAGTTAAGGACATCAATAGATTGAATAAAGGACATCAATAGATTGAGTGAAGGAAAATAATTGATTAATTTAAGGATATCAATAGATTGAATTAAGGACATCAATAGATTGAGTTAAGGAAATCAATCGATTGAGTTAAGGACATCAATAGATTGAGTTAAGGAAATCAATATAGATTGATTTAAGGACATCAATAGATTCAGTTCAGGAAATCAATAGATCAATTTAAGGAATTCAATATAGACTGAGTTTAGGAAATCAGTATACATTAATGTTTGTGCAAGGCAAAGCTAAAGGGTCAACTTAAGCTGCAAATTCATTTGTATACGGTGTGGAGGGCCCACAAAATGTGTAAGTGTGAACAAATACCATAAACAACCTGTCGATCATAAATGGCAATGTTATAACAAATGTCAATGTTGTAAAATGGTAAGTTTCATGTTGAAGTGTGTGTCACAGCTGGATTCGTTTAAAATCCGGAAAGTTTGTGTTTTGATGTTATGATAAGATGTACCTTGTCGGTGAGGTGAGGTGAAATGGGGTTTAACGTCGCGTCCAAGAGTATTTCACTTATATAGCGACGTGCATGCGTGTATGTGTGTGTGTGGCTGCTTGTACTAGTCCGGACTGATGCCGATTTATAGTGCTAGCCCACTGAGATACCATGCCGCAGTTAAACATGAATACCCCACTCAGACACAGTATACTGACTCCGAGCCGACCAGTCCTTGTTTTAGCCCCTCAATGCCGAGCGCCAGACAGGGTCACAACAAATTTTCTTGTGAGTTTGTCACAAGTTGTAACAATTCTTATTTCCTTTTGTTTTAGCTTGTACCTAACTGTGTGTTGAACAAGGCAAGAGTAGCATAACCGCATCCAGCAACTATACCAAGATTGAAACCCATGGCACCATTCAATACCAAGACAAATTTGTGAGGAATTCAAAGAGAACCTATCAGAAGTAATATTGTGGTCCGACTCTCAAAGTGTAATCCACTGGATACAATCTAATTCAATATCATTCAAGGCCTTGGCACCATAACATGGACAGATTTTATTTTTTTTCATACACGTAAGAAATGTGCCACCACCTGGAAAAAAACTGCAAGGACTATTAAATAGTGGATAAAGAATACATTCAGTGAAAACAGATTATGACCATCTCAAGACTGATTTTCTAGTGCGAATTCTTTTTTATTTAAACATATTTTTGATACAGGTTTATTAATTGACAGTGTTAATCGATCCTCTGTTAATCACTGGTTGGCAATATTCGTGTGTACTGACAGTATCGATCTGTTTGTGTGATATTTACATATCTAGTAATTCAGCAATTTTCAAGATAGATCTTTATCGCGCCGGCCCGTTAATAACCAGGTCTGGCCCAGACAAACCGGACAAACCGGGAAACGATGACACGCAATAAACCAAATCAACGATTGTTGCACTAATATATTCATGAGCGCGACAAAAAGAACAAACACTCTTTCGTTCCATCTGATTCATCACAAATCATTCCTCACTGAATATTCTGAGGAAGTAAATGTGTGATCCCCTGTTGACGAAGCTAAAACTCTAAATGACCGTCCCCTCCACCCCCTTACACACACGCGCGTAATAAATTTCTACGTTCACGTGCGGGTAACTTTTCGTCGTAATGAGTCTTGCACTCGTGATGATAAGCAGCAGACGCGTCTTTAGCTCCAAACAGGGTTGTTCGCGTCAATGTAAAAAAATAATGCCGAAGTAGCATGTGGTGATGCAGAGCTTCCAGTACGATACTACCTGCCTGGCGTAATATTTTACTTTTATGTTAATCTCGAATGAACCACATGCGGATGACATCATATTTGTTACAAATATTGTCGTACGATACGAAAATGATTCACTTAATGTCTCATAAAGGTAACATATTTATTCTGTATTTGTATTTTTTAGTTAATTTTACGAGAAAATTGTTGATACATCAACATGACACGAAATAACAAGGTATTTTCCTCAAAAGATAGTTTAAAACCATTGCTGAAACATAAGATAAATTCTACCATGACATTCCACAGATATATGGACAATGTACACTTCAAGGTGTTTTCTCTGACACAAAATAATTCGAATTATCTTATATGGAGTTGAGGTATGGGGTTTAGACTTTATCGATAGAGTACATTCATATGCATGGAAAACATTATTAGGATTTACGGTAAAGTCGTCACAAGTGCAGTTATGTATGGTAAATACGGTAAATATTATTGGCTAAGATTACTATGTGTGCCATATTATAGATAGCTAAGAAAGTGTTCAGATACGATATTTGTACTTGACAACAATTGAAAGCAAAACTGTGTTCCGTCTGTCATAAAGTTGATCAAAGTATTAGGATTTGGATATATTATATTCAAAATTGAAATGCAAAGTTCAAACGTAGATTGACCCCAAAGTTTTGTTATAATGTACTCATAGACTCAAATTGAGTGATTGAGTTTGGTTTTACGCCACTTTTAGCAATATTCCAGCAATATTCCGGCGGGGTACACCAGAAATGGGCTTCACACATTGTACCCATGTCGAGATTCGAACCCGGGTCTTCGGCGTGACGAGCGAACGCTTTATCCACTAGGCTACCCGACCGCCCCAAAGACTCAAAGACTCAAATATATGCATATACAAAAATGGCACGCTTCATTAGTACTATTTCCAAAATATAATTATTTTGGCATTTTTGAACAAATGAGTATCTTTTTAAACCAATATATCAATGTACAATTTTAAAGATTTAGGTGCTCATTGCAAGCTTTGAATATTGAAACAGAAAGAAATATCAAAATACCAAAGAAATGTGGACTGTAAAATGTGTAACTAACACATAAGATTAATCGAAAACACAAATACGGAACAGATTATGTTATCTGAAGAGAAGACAGGTTCACCTTGATCTCAAATGCCCATTTTATCACGTTGCACATACCCAGCTCAATTTATGCTCCAATCTACAAACATCTTTAAGTTTAATGAAATATCTGTAAATATGAATGTATTAAAGTCCTGAAAAGTTTATATATTTCATGTGCAATAGTCCTGTGGCCAGTCGGTATTTCTGATAATAATAAATAAAATATAAAGGTATTTTTTTTTTAAAAACATTAAAAAGAGAAAAAACCCAACATCTTCATCATTGACAAGATTTTGTTTACAAACATTAAAGGTCTCGGTTCCAAATAAGAATAAGAGGTATCAAATCTTCAGTGAGACTACCTCAAATATCAAAACACAGTAGGTTTATCTGCTTAGTGTATGTTTTAAATATTTCCTTATATGATAAAAATGTCCATTAAGATCATGATTAGCATTTTCGATCCGGATTTGCAAACACGTGAACAAAAGCGTGGGTTTCATTTATTTGTTTGAAGCTTGACATCACTTTATTAAAACAATCGTTCTAGCTGTATGCAAGACAGGGAAATTGTTTTCATATTCGATATGTTAGCATTAAATGTACAAATAATTTCCGGTATGGTAATTACTGCATCAATTTCCTTCTTGTTACTGATACGCTTTACAAATGTAAATAACCAGATAAAAATATATCACTGCACTCGAGTGAGCAACGCCGTGCTTCTAGTACCTCACACTTGTACGTGTATGTTGCAAGGAGTCATGGCCTGTAAGCGGTAAGTTGAGAGTGAGTGAGTGAGTAAATATTTCAGTTGCGTGCCATAAAGTATGAACGTTAACGTCCGAAAAGAGGTAATCATAGACTATATCGGCCGTTTTAAGTACATTTCGTTCGCTTCGTTTGTTCCTTAAACCCCCTCAACAATATCAGAACTATATGATGGCTGCCTGTAAACAATAATGTTTTGGCCAGACCAGTGGTTGATATCATGAGTAGGGATCAACACCGAGTATGACGATCCCATCCATTCATCCGCATCTTTCGACCAACAAAGGTTGCAAGGGACCAAGTCGAACCCGGAATCCTCAAGTAAGTTTTATAACGATATATGTTTGACGACCCACTCGGCAACATCCCAGCTATATGACCGGTGGTGTGTAAATAGAATAATCATTAGCATCGATCTACTTATTTGTGAAACGATGATGCACAATCAACTAAGCCCCCCCCCCCCCACCCACACACACACACACACACACGCACGCACGCGCGCACGCACGCACGCACGCACGCAAACACTAACACACATACTAACACATACCAATCCATTGTGTGAGCCTGACCGTTTCTTACGACCAGCATAGGTTATATCCTTAACCGGAATCCAACACTACGTCAGATATTGGTCTTGGGACTATTTTACGCACAGCCCTTATAGTCCCAACACACCCAGAGAGGACATTATCTGTGTCATTGCATTCGATAATATCACAGAAATTACTTATTATTTACAAACCGTGTTTCAATAATAGTTTCTGTCAAATTTCAACAGAAGCTCGACGTTTAGAAGCTACATACACAGTTAGTTGTTAGGCAGACATTACCCAAGGGAAGTAACTCTTATTGGCAATTATGACGAATATCTATCAGAGGTGTGTATTTGACAGCTGATAAAACTCATCAATTGTCACTGATAATGAAAGAATGTCAGGTCTTTTAAACTCTTTCGTTGGCATTAACACAGTTTTATTTGTCTAGCTATTTACGTCTGTCAGTGATCATTTGTATGCCATGAGATCAAATTACAACCGACTCCCCGAAAATGAAGGGGCCCCGAAAAGGTTTTGTTTGCAAGACATTTGGCACTTCTGAAGAAGGATGAATGATTTTTTGTTTCTGTAGTGTAACTATGTGTCTGTATCCGTCATAAATTACATATTTATTAACTTTATATATCAACTGATATTTATTGAAATTATGTATCAGCTTTTGTGGTTGCTATCAAGTCTACAATGGACTCTCAAATGTTTCAGTATATTGTTGTTATAGGTGCACATTACTAGCAAATAATCCCATAGAAATTATTGTCAAGTCGCTATGTCTGACTAAATTGGAATCCTGGTGACAATTGGATTGTGGCTCACAGGTCACTGGATTGTCTGGTCCAGACTTGATTATCCACAGATCGCCGTAATATAGCTGGGATGGCGCTGAACGCGGCGTTAAACAAGAAGCATGTGCTTGTTCGCGCGCACACACACACACACACACACACACACACACACACACACACACACACACACACACACACGTTAATTGTTTCTTGGCAGATGCTCTATCCATTAACCAAGGAGGCGGTCTATATGATATGGGACTTGTAGTGATGTTTTCATATAGCACAGCATCATGATGTGTCTCCGTGGGCTAGAATTGGTTCCAGCAACCAATGCGTGTCGTACAGGGCTACTTAATGGAACAGGTGATCCGGATCACTTACTTTGTTGATTGAGATCTTTTCTTTGAATGCACCCATCTCGGAAATTGAAGTCATCAAAGGTTTATTGAGTAAATGTGTAAATATTTATTTCATATTGTCTTTTCACCAGACCATGCAGTTCAGATGAATCGTTTGAGAGAATCGACATCGTCCCTTCACAGCCCCCTCCCCCTCAGATTGACGGTCAGATCTTGGAGGATGTCCCTGTGAGCAAGCGGACAGCCCCCCTCTCTGAGGAGAAGTTCCTGCAATTCCTGGATGCTGACGGGAGACTGGTTGATGAACATGGCCTGCGGCGGACTGTGTTCTTAGGTAAGACATCAGGGATGTATCTACATGGTCTGCGGCGAACTGTGTTCTTAGGTAAGATATCAGGGATGTATCTACATGGCCTGCGGAGAACAGTGTTCTTAGGTAAGATATCAGGGATGTATCTACATAGCCTGCAGAGAACTGTGTTCTTAGGTAAGATATCAGGGATGTATCTACATAGCCTGCAGAGAACTGTGTTCTTAGGTAAGATATCAGGGATGTATCTACATAGCCTGCAGAGAACTGTGTTCTTAGGTAAGATATCAGGGATGTATCTACACCTCAGAGGCCGGCCCAAGTCTGCTGTATATGCAGTGACATATCTACACCTCAGAGGCCGGCCCAAGTCTGCTGCACATGCAGGGATGTATCTACACCTCAGAGGCCGGCCCAAGTCTGCTGCACATGCAGTGATGTATCTACACCTCAGAGGCCGGCCCAAGTCTGCTGCACATGCAGGGATGTATCTACACCTCAGAGGCCGGCCCAAGTCTGCTGCACATGCAGGGATGTATCTACACCTCAGAGGCCGGCCCAAGTCTGCTGCACATGCAGGGATGTATCTACACCTCAGAGGCCGGCCCAAGTCTGCTGCACATGCAGTGATGTATCTACACCTCAGAGGCCGGCCCAAGTCTGCTGCACATGCAGTGATGTATCTACACCTCAGAGGCCGGCCCAAGTCTGCTGCACATGCAGGGATGTATCTACACCTCAGAGGCCGGCCCAAGTCTGCTGTATATGCAGTGACATATCTACACCTCAGAGGCCGGCCCAAGTCTGCTGCACATGCAGGGATGTATCTACACCTCAGAGGCCGGCCCAAGTCTGCTGCACATGCAGGGACATATCTACACCTCAGAGGCCGGCCCAAGTCTGCTGCACATGCAGTGATGTATCTACACCTCAGAGGCCAGCCCAAGTCTGCTGCACATGCAGGGATGTATCTACACCTCAGAGGCCGGCCCAAGTCTGCTGCACATGCAGGGACGTATCTACACCTCAGAGGCCAGCCCAAGTCTGCTGCACATGCAGGGACGTATCTACACCTCAGAGGCCGGCCCAAGTCTGCTGCACATGCAGGGATGTATCTACACCTCAGAGGCCGGCCCAAGTCTGCTGCACATGCAGGGACATATCTACACCTCAGAGGCCGGCCCAAGTCTGCTGTATATGCAGGGACATATCTACACCTCAGAGGCCGGCCCAAGTCTGCTGCACATGCAGTGATGTATCTACACCTCAGAGGCCGGCCCAAGTCTGCTGCACATGCAGGGATGTATCTACACCTCAGAGGCCGGCCCAAGTCTGCTGCACATGCAGGGACATATCTACACCTCAGAGGCCGGCCCAAGTCTGCTGTATATGCAGGGACATATCTACACCTCAGAGGCCGGCCCAAGTCTGCTGCACATGCAGTGATGTATCTACACCTCAGAGGCCGGCCCAAGTCTGCTGCACATGCAGGGATGTATCTACACCTGAGAGGCCGGCCCAAGTCTGCTGCACATGCAGGGACATATCTACACCTCAGAGGCCGGCCCAAGTCTGCTGTATATGCAGGGACATATCTACACCTCAGAGGCCGGCCCAAGTCTGCTGTATATGCAGGGACGTATCTACACCTCAGAGGCCGGCCCAAGTCTGCTGTATATGCAGGGACATATCTACACCTCAGAGGCCGGCCCAAGTCTGCTGTATATGCAGGGACATATCTACACCTCAGAGGCCGGCCCAAGTCTGCTGTATATGCAGGGACATATCTACACCTCAGAGGCCGGCCCAAGTCTGCTGTATATGCAGGGACGTATCTACACCTCAGAGGCCGGCCCAAGTCTGCTGTATATGCAGGGACATATCTACACCTGAGAGGCTGGCCCAAGTCTGCTGTATATGCAGGGACGTATCTACACCTCAGAAGCCGGCCCAAGTCTGCTGCACATGCAGTGATGTATCTACACCTCAGAGGCCGGCCCAAGTCTGCTGCACATGCAGTGATGTATCTACACCTCAGAGGCCGGCCCAAGTCTGCTGCACATGCAGGGACGTATCTACACCTCAGAGGCCGGCCCAAATCTGCTGCACATGCAGTGATGTATCTACACCTCAGAGGCCGGCCCAAGTCTGCTGCACATGCAGGGACATATCTACACCTCAGTGGCCGGCCCAAGTCTGCTGCACATGCAGTGATGTATCTACACCTCAGAGGCCGGCCCAAGTCTGCTGCACATGCAGGGACGTATCTACACCTCAGGGGCCGGCCCAAGTCTGCTGCACATGCAGTGATGTATCTACACCTGAGAGGCTGGCCCAAGTCTGCTGTATATGCAGGGACGTATCTACACCTCAGAGGCCGGCCCAAGTCTGCTGCACATGCAGTGATGTATCTACGCCTCAGAGGCCGGCCCAAGTCTGCTGCACATGCAGTGATGTATCTACACCTCAGAGGCCGGCCCAAGTCTGCTGTATATGCAGGGACATATCTACACCTCAGAGGCCGGCCCAAGTCTGCTGCACATGCAGGGACATATCTACACCTCAGAGGCCAGCCCAAGTCTGCTGCACATGCAGTGATGTATCTACACCTCAGAGGCCGGCCCAAGTCTGCTGCACATGCAGGGACATATCTACACCTCAGAGGCCGGCCCAAGTCTGCTGCACATGCAGTGATGTATCTACACCTCAGAGGCTGGCCCAAGTCTGCTGCACATGCAGGGACATATCTACACCTCAGAGGCAGGCCCAAGTCTGCTGCACATGCAGGGACATATCTACACCTCAGAGGCCGGCCCAAGTCTGCTGTATATGCAGGGATGTATCTACACCTCAGAGGCCGGCCCAAGTCTGCTGTATATGCAGGGACATATCTACACCTCAGAGGCCGGCCCAAGTCTGCTGCACATGCAGTGATGTATCTACACCTCAGATGCCGGCCCACGTCTGCTGCACATGCAGGGACGTATCTACACCTCAGGGGCCGGCCCAAATCTGCTGCACATGCAGTGATGTATCTACACCTCAGAGGCCGGCCCAAGTCTGCTGCACATGCAGGGACATATCTACACCTCAGTGGCCGGCCCAAGTCTGCTGCACATGCAGTGATGTATCTACACCTCAGAGGCCGGCCCAAGTCTGCTGTATATGCAGGGACATATCTACACCTCAGAGGCCGGCCCAAGTCTGCTGTATATGCAGGGACATATCTACACCTCAGAGGCAGGCCCAAGTCTAGGGTCTAGGATATAGGGTTCAAAACTAAGTGTACTTGGTGCAAATTTTGTTGTTTTGTAACATTGCATCCAATACAACATGATATAATGATGCCTCTTCCTCTTTTTTGGTCCTGTTATCAGTGGAATACAAGCCACCTTAACCAAGCCGTCACATTAGTTATAGCCCTGTGAAGATCTGGGTTAGAAAAGGTCTTCAGCAACCCATCTTTGCCGTAAGAGGCGACTATGCTTGTCGTAAGAGGATCGGGTGGTCAAGCTCGCTTACTTGGTTGATGCTTGTCATCGTATCCTAATTGTGTGGATCGATGTTAATGACATCACTGGATTGTCTGGTCCAGACTCGATTATTTACAGACCACCGTCATATAGCTGGAATATTGCTGAGTGACGTTAACAACAACATGAAATAGGAACATTTTTGTTAGCATTTGGACATTTTTATTACATTTGCTGCAGAAGTGGGGCCGAATATCAGCATCTGAGCAGGTCTAGATAAATCCCTGATATGACAGTAAAATTCCTGCATTGGAATTTAAGAATCCCAATTCATATTGACATAGTTTAACTGATGTAAAGTAGAAACTTGGAATTAAACTTCTCACCCCTGCCAATTCAGGTTATTGCACCCAGGATATTTGTGAAACTGGTGTAGGCTATCACTCTGAAATTTCCTAATCATATCAATATGCTGAGCTCTCACTTATCAGAGTTAAGTCTGATGGAGACAGAGCCCAGTTTACAAGATGATATATGCATGAAATAATATCAGCTTCAACTTTGATATAAAAGCAAGTTGATTTCTTCTGTTACACTTGCCTTATGTCCATGTTTAGTGAAATTGTATTTCAAGAGATGTATATTTTCAAATTCCTCATCAGTTTGTTTTATTGATAAGACATGATAGGAGGTTGATCTTTAATCACTGTAGTAGAGACGCTGGGGTTACAAGCCAATCCACATTCATTTATATCATGGCAAGAAGCTAACCTTCCACAGGCTATCATTTGAAATCCATATCACTATGTTGTATTAAAGAAACATCAATATTAATTAATAATGGATAAAATTTAGGTGTATTGGTGTTGTACCCCATAATTTTATGTGAAGGTTAGTGTCTTACCCCATCATGATATAAATTTATGTGGACTAGGGACGTACACCTATTGTCTATACAATTTCCTCCCTGAAATACATTGAAAGCAATGTTAAACAAACTGACTTGTTGACAAGGGAGGTAACCTGGGATGTTTCAGGCGGCGTGGAGCCCAGCATCAGGAAGCAGGTGTGGCAGTTTGTGTTTGGCCTGTACCCCTGCACCTCCACCAGCAGGTCAGTCAGCGTGGGCGGGGAGACTGCAGCAACATGGGCGGGGAGACTGCAGCAACATGGGCGGGGAGACAGCAGCAACATGAATGGGGAGACTGCAGCAACATGGGCGGGGAGACTGCAGCAACATGGGTGGGGAGACTGCAGCAACATGGGCGGGGAGACTGCAGCAACATGGGCTGGGAGACTGCAGCAACATGGGCAGGGAGACTACATCAACATGGGCGGGGAGACTGCAGCAACATGGGTGGGGAGACTGCAGCAACATGGGCGGGGAGACTGCAGCAACATGGGCGGGGAGACTGCATCAACATGGGCGGGGAGACTGCAGCAACATGGGTGGGGAGACTGCAGCAACATGGGCGGGGAGACTGCAGCAACATGGGCGGGTAGACTGCAGCAACATGGGTGGGGAGACTGCAGCAACATGGGCGGGGAGACTGCAGCAACATGGGCGGGACACTGCATCAACATGGGGGGGGAGACTGCAGCAACAAGGGCGGGGAGACTGCAGCAACATGGGCGGGACACTGCATCAACATGGGCGGGGAGACTGCAGCAACATGGGCTGGGAGACTGCATCAACATGGGCGGGGAGACTGCAGCAACATGGGCTGGGAGACTGCAGCAACATGGGCGGGGAGACTGCAGCAACATGGGCGGGGAGACTGCATCAACATGGGCGGGGAGACTGCATCAACATGGGCGGGGAGACTGCAGCAACATGGGCGGGGAGACTGCAGCAACATGGGCGGGGAGACTGCAGCAACATGGGCGGGGAGACTGCAGCAACATGGGCGGGGAGACTGCAGCAACATGGGCGGGGAGACTGCAGCAACATGGGCGGGACACTGCAGCAACATGGGCGGGGAGACTGCAGCAACAGGGGCGGGGAGACTACAGCAACATTGGTGGGGAGACTGCAGCAACATGGGCGGGGAGACTGCAGCAACATGGGTGGGGAGACTGCAGCAACATGGGCGGGGAGACTGCAGCAACATGGGTGGGGAGACTGCAGCAACATGGGCGGGGAGACTGCAGCAACATGGGCGGGGAGACTGCAGCAAGCAGTGCAGCGTATTTTTCATTACAGAGCTCCAGATAAGCTTTTGGTGTTGTGGGTATTTTACCCATGCATTTTAAAATCATTGGGTATGAGTAATTCTATCTGGGTATTCAAATTTCTGTTACCCACTAGTTTTTACACATGTGGGTATTTAAGTTAAATATTTAAAAACACTATTCATATAGTCCTTGCAAACTGATGTCGTGTGGGTTCGAGAGCTTTATAGGACTCAAAAATACCATGAAACTTCCACAAGAAAGTGTGATGGCAAATGATCATGATGTAACTGTCATCGTGGAGTTTGGCAAGGTTGACGGAATGCCCGTTTATAATTTCAAAATAAGTTGCTGATTAGCTAATCGAATACGCAGGGTTACTTCACAATATTTTGATGATACGCACAAGTTTTATTTTTGTAGCGTATCTGTAATGTTCGTTGCATATTTGATACACTTGGATTTTATTTTACTGCATATTTTTGCATTTCTGATGCGTATTTTACGAAGATACGCAGCTTATCTGGAGCTCTGTAATTATATGTTTATTGAACAAACAGGGCATTATATTGTTAATTACATGTTTATTGAACAAACAGGGCATTATATTTTTAATTACATGTTTATTGAACAAACAGGGCGTTATATTGTTAATTACATGTTTGTTGAACAAGCAGGGCGTTATATTGTTAATTCAGGATTATGCTTGAAATTTTTACCTATGAGAGAAAATCCCCCCTGGTCCAAAAGCAATGAGATTTTTTGGCGTGTGATGAGATTTTGCAAATTTTCAGGGAGATTTTGTGGAAACTGTATTTGATAGTCAGTATTTGTGACTCAAATTATGTTGCAATTAATGTTAGCAGATTATAAAGATATATCCTCCGATATTTTCGAACATTAATTATTCCAGGTCTTTGAAAGGAAGAGTATTGATGGATGTCAACTTCTTTATTATGAGGAACATAATGTTGATGTTGGGGGTATTAGTGAGCCCTGCTCATTTTTTGTCTTGTTTATTCCTAGTGTGGCTAACTCATGTAATAATTACCGTGTATTGCGACAGTCCTCTGTACAGTATTGGTGGATATGATTGTTCCTGTTGCAGGGAAAGGGAGACAATCCTGCTGGACTACATCGTGAAATATCATGAGTTGCGACAGAGATGGAAGACAATGCTTGTTCTCAGCTCGCGGCCTGGATGTAAGTAGCTGAAACATGTCTCCCTGGTCTAGTGGTAGAGCATCTGCCCGGAGAGTGGAAGACAATGCTTGTTCTCAGCTCCCGGCCTGGATGTAAGTAGCTGAAACATGTCTCCCTGGTCTAGTGGTAGAGCATCTGCCCGGAGAGTGGAAAACAATGCTTGTTGTCAGATCTCGGCCTGGATGTAAGTAGCTGAAACATGTCTCCCTGGTCTAGTGGTAGAGCATCTGCCCGGAGAGTTGAAGACAATGCTTGTTCTCAGCTCCCGGCCTGGATGTAAGTAGCTGAAACATGTCTCCCTGGTCTAGTGGTAGAGCATCTGCCCGGAGAGTGGAAGACAATGCTTGTTCTCAGCTCCCAGCCTGGATGTAAGTAGCTGAAACATGTCTCCCTGGTCTAGTGGTAGAGTATCTGCCCGGAGAGTGGAAGACAATGCTTGTTCTCAGCTCCCGGCCTGGATGTAAGTAGCTGAAATATGTCTCCCTGGTCTAGTGGTAGAGCATCTGCCCGGAGAGTGGAAGACAATGCTTGTTCTCAGCTTGCGGCCTGGATGTAAGTAGCTGAAACATGTCTCCCTGGTCTAGTGGTAGAGCATCTGCCCGGAGAGTGGATGGTCGGCAGTTCTAACCCAGGCCTCGTCGTAACAAATGATGTTAAAAGTTGGTACTTGTTGCTACCCTATCTGGCGCTCGGCATTAAGGGGTTATAACAAGGATGGTCGGCTCGGAGTCAGTATACTGTGTCTTAGTGGGGTATTCATGTTAAACTGCGGCATGGTATCTCAGTGGGCTAGCACTATAAAATCGGCATCAGTCCGGACTAGTACAAGCAGCCACACAGACACACACGTCCAACCATGTTGAAACAATCTTGAACACAACGTTAAACCTCACCTCACCTCACCTCACCTCACCTCACCTGTAGTAGCCATTGTAGAGTAGGGTGAGTATCGTCAATTCTTATATAATCAAAATGCGACTACAGTTGGTATTTGACGAGCATCTTTGTTTTGTTTGTCGCTTAACTTTGCATTCAGTAATCTTCCAGCTATGTGACAACTGCCTGTACATAATTGAGTCTAGACCAGGCATTCCAGTGATTGATATGATGATTAATGATCCACACTGACGCTGGCCATTAAGTTCCCTCTTACAACCAGCAGGAGATGCTGGGGCCTGTTCTCACCCGGACCCCAATGACAGTGCTATAGACATAATGATATAATGTGGACAGAGACACTGAATATTGACCAGTAATGCACATGTCAGCAGTGTGACAGTGCTATAGACATAATGATATAATGTGGACAGAGACACTGAATATTGACCAGTAATGCACATGTCAGCAGTGTGACAGTGCTATAGACATATTTTGCAAGGCCATATCTGATATAATGTGGACAGAGACACTGAATATTGACCAGTAATGCACATGTCAGCAGTGTGACAGTGCTATAGACATATTTTGCAAGGCCATATCTGATATAACGTCGACAGAGACACTGAATATTGACCAGTAATGTCAGCAGTGTGACAGTGCTATAGACATATTTTGCAAGGCCATATCTGATATAATGTGGACAGAGACACTGAATATTGACCAGTAATGCACATGTCAGCAGTGTGACAGTGCTATAGACATATTTTGCAAGGCCATATCTGATATAATGTGGACAGAGACACTGAATATTGACCAGTATTGCACATGTCAGCAGTGTGACAGTGCTATAGACATATTTTGCAAGGCCATATCTGATATAATGTGGACAGAGACACTGAATATTGACCAGTAATGCACATGTCAGCAGTGTGACAGTGCTATAGACATATTTTGCAAGGCCATATCTGATATAACGTCGACAGAGACACTGAATATTGACCAGTAATGTCAGCAGTGTGACAGTGCTATAGACATATTTTGCAAGGCCATATCTGATATAATGTGGACAGAGACACTGAATATTGACCAGTAATGCACATGTCAGCAGTGTGACAGTGCTATAGACATATTTTGCAAGGCCATATCTGATATAATGTGGACAGAGACACTGAATATTGACCAGTTATGCACATGTCAGCAGTGTGATCAATGCTAAACCTGATTTAACATCAATATCGCAACAGTGAAGACAGGGACATGCTCCCTTACAGATAATGCAAGTTTTGTACTGAAACAGTTCAGTAAGCTACATTTATAACAAACATGCTTATAACGAACTGATGGATATAACAAACTGTATTTTTCGTCCTGGCCATTTACGGTAAATTTTATCAGATAAAATTTATGGTTATGACGAACACGCTTATAACGAAAACGGATTTAGTGTCCTCACTTTGTGGTCCCATGTGTATGTGTCAATGACAATGTTTATAATGAACTGTTAATCACTAATCTGATCACTTGTCACAATCAGCCTTTCAAAATATCTGCGGCCACAGGCGGCTGTTTAAGGTTGCAGTAAGCAATTGAAGGCAAGTGATGAAATGGATTAAGTTCCGACACCGTGTCCTCAGGTCACACCCTCAATTAGCAATAGCAAACAGGGATTAGGCTATAGCCTTTGAAGTGGATATTTGAAGCTATTTATCGAGTACCATGATGTGGTCACGTGACTTGATCCAATATGTCTGACAGTCAAAATGCTTATAATGAACTAGTTATAATGAACTAAAACTAGTGGTCCCTTTGAGTTTGTTATGACCTTAGTTTACTGTAAAAAAGTAAATTACTTGGAAAGAACATGGAAAGACCGATATTTCCAACATTTCCAAGAGTGGTAAGAACATTATTTCCATTGATAATATTGACATTTCCAATGATAATGTTGACATTTCGAATGAAAATATTGATATTTCCAAAAAAATTAAACACAACTTTCCTGAACATTTCACATTTGGAAATTCCATCTTCATTCAACCCTCTGTTGCAGCAACCCCCCTGGAACAAGGCCTGATCGCCAAGTACCAGACTCAGGAGGGTAGCACCCCCCCATGCAGCCCCGAGATCAGCTCCGCCCAGCCCTCATTCGACACCTCCCCCGAGGGGATGCACCGGGCGGCGGCGGGGGTGGTGTCCGGCCCCGTGGATGCGGCCCTGCTGTCTGAGACACACCTCACGGACACGTACACCATGGAGGAGATTCAGCAGAAACTCGAGTTCATGAAGCTGCAGGCTCAGGTGAGAGGGAGTCACAGACCTGGGGCTCTCGGATTGGAATTGGGGTTCCCAGGCATCAAGATTGGGGTGTCAGGCATAAGAATTGGGAGTCCCAGGACTGACCACTGCTCCAATAACAACTAAATAAAATACAGTCGTGCCTCGTTTATACGGACACTTGCGTCATTTCACAATTCGTCTGTATAAACAAATTTCTGTATAACTGAAACCAGCTTCTTCCTGGAAGAGTTACTTCCCTTCAATTATGCAACTCATGACAGATGACAGAGCAAACAGATACATCCACTCAATCTTTATTCAAGACATACACGTTTCAAAAAATCTGTCATGGAAGTTTGAACTTTACCACATTTTGAGGTTTTAATTTTAAACAATAATTCCAAATTGCTGACGGCTGTTTTTCCTTAAACAGACAAATTTCTCTTTTTTCGCGTGCTGTAACTGCGTGTCGCTTCCGTTTCGCTGGTTGACAGGCCATACTCACAGTTTGAAGTCACAACTTTGACCTCTGACCTCCACAGACACCATATTTATCGAAAGGGATTACATGTACAATAAACAAGCTCGTCTCAAACGTAACTCAGTGTCACTTGGTTAATTGACTTCTCACGAATCAAAGGATTACCACCAGCAGATGTATATTGTCTGGGTAAGTGAGACAATTTTGTGTGCATTTATTGTTTTGTGTATGAAAATGACCATCCTTCCGGAAACTGAATTTCCGTATATACGGGTAAATTTATAAAGTAATTATTTTGTTTTGAATGAAAATCGTCCGGGAACCGAGGTTTCCTGATATCTGAAGTCCGTATAAGCAGGGCATGACTATATGTGAAATGGGGTTCAAGATTATTGCACTCACACAGCAACGTCCATGCAGTCGAGTGTGTTAGTGTGTGAGATATAGAGATATAGAGAATCTCACCCGAGTGTCTTTTGATATCAAATATATCTGCAGAAGTTGATAAAAGTGGAAAAACTCACAAGCTGAAAAAGTAGTGTTGTTTACTATATTTGTTAGTTTTGATATTGCATATCTAAATACAAGCAACTAAAATTTGATTGGGTTATGGTGATGTACTTTGTTTATTTTACTCACATACATAGCTTATTTCAGCGTTAGAAATTGGCTCTGGTCCTATAGTCCTTGCCAGACTGCCCAATAGTTAAGGTCCTAAGGATTGGTGGAAATTTGCCATCAGTGTTAGAAATTGGCACTTTTCCTGTAGTCCCAATAGTTAAGTTATTATGGGTTTTGCTATATGTTATCATTATTAGCACTAGTGGGATGAAACTGTTAGTTTCTGTTGCTGTATCTGGGTAAAGAAATGCTTTGGGAATTGTTTCCTTGTTTATTTGTTTTTTTAACACCACACTCAACAATATTCTAGTGATATGACAGCAGTCTGTAAATAATTAAATCTGGACCAGACAATCCAATGATTATCGATTTATGCAATTGGTGTACGATGACATGCATGAACCAAGTCAGTGAGCCTGACCACCCGATTCTGTTAGTCACCTATTACGACAAGCATGGGTTGCTGAAGACCTACTCTACTCCGGAATGTTCCCGGGACAGTTCTGTTTGAAGTTGTGAGTGCTTTCTGCAGAGTTGTCTCCCAACACGATGGTTTGTTGCAGGTGTTTGTAAACCGCCACAAGATTGACGTGAACGACATGAGGACCAACATTCGGGTGATAGACAAGGACGTGCCGAGGACGGACCGGGACGTGGAGTACTTCGAGTAAGATCATTGAGAATGTATATAAAGAGGTGCTTTGAGAAACTTTATAAAATGATAACATGGATCTCAACAGGTGTTGTCTTGGGTCTGTGTATTTACAAGTCCATGGGACTCCTGTTAATAATCTGGGGGTCAAAGGTATGAACCTGGGGGTCAAAGGTATGAACCTGGGGGTCAAAGGTATGAACTTGGGGGTCAAAGGTATGAACCCGGGGGTCAAAGGTATGAACCTTGAGGTCAAAGGTATGAACCAGGGGGTCAAAGGTATGAACCTGGGGGTCAAAGGTATGAACCTGGGGTCAAAGGTATGAACTTGGGGGTCAAAGGTATAAACCCGGGGGTCAAAGGTATGAACCTTGAGGTCAAAGGTATGAACCAGGGGGTCAAAGGTATGAACCTGGGGGTCAAAGGTATGAACCTGGGGTCAAAGGTATGAACCTTGAGGTGAAAGGTATGAACCTGGGGTAAAAGGTATGAACCTGGAGGTCAAAGGTATGAACTTGGGGGTCAAAGGTATGAACTTGGGGGTCAAAGGTATGATCTTTGGGGTCAAAGGTATGAACATGGGGCTCCAGGTGTCACGCTACACTTGATCTCCAAAAATTTTACTGATGTTATATCATTGCGCATGCTCAGCAGCCTAAAACCTCTTGTAGATGGGGATTTGTGTGTTAGACATCTTTAACTTTTGAGTGTGTTTCTCACCAGAAGAGAAATGTCAGTCATTATCTTGAAGTTTGGCTCCTTAGGAATAAAAATGAACTTTGAGGCATGTTCCTGTTGTTTCCCAGGGGCAGAAGCAACCCTCACCTCACCCAGCTGAGAGATATTCTAGTAACATGTGCAGTCTACAATCCTAAACTCGGCTACGCCCAGGGAATGAACGACATCCTGTCCCGGTTCCTGTTCGTCATGGAGTCGGAGGTGAGACTAGACACACTATGGTGGTTTTACTGCAGACATTAGGGAAACTCGGACCCAAACCTTCACTTACGTTGAATACAACTTTGAAAACAGTTCTTTTTACACACTCTGACTGGTATCATAGTATTATGTTAAATAATTTCAGTAATGAAAATAAATTCAATGAAGGTAACGAAACCGATTTACTAGCCTCAAGTCTATATCACATCTGTCTCCCTGACCGTCGACACTCTCTTTGGTCTGTGGTCTAAAGCATCTGCCCAGAGAGCAGAAAGTTAGTGGTTGGATCCAGGCCAAGTAATTTTACTGTTCTATTTGTTTTACATAAAAAAGTTATGAATATATATGAGCAAAATATGAAGACTAGTCTCTCCTCTCCTCCTCCCAGCTCTCTATTGCTTGTCTTGAGAGGAGACTATATTAGATCAGTGGCCAGGCTTGTAATTTGGGACCACCTCCGTGGTCTAGTGGTAGAGCGTCAGCCCGGAGAGCGGAAGGTCCGGGGTTCGATCCCTGGCCGCGTCATACCAAAAGACGTTAAAAGCTGGTACTTGTTACCCAGTAAGGGGCTAAAACAAGGACTGGTCAGCCCGGAGTCAATATACTGTTGAGTTGGTTATTCATGTTAAACTGCGACACATGCACACACACGCACACATTATCGATGATGGATAGGCTACGTTGTACTGACATCGATCCATTTCAAGTGATCTTTGTCAACATCATCAACTCTGGAAAGAAATCTGATTTTGGCAAATTATAACACATGAATCAATTTCATCATCAATAAGTGGTCAGTATGCAAGTATCAGGTTTTATTCAGAACATGAGATTCCCTAAATATCAGAACTCTGACACACAGTTTCTGGAAAATACAGAAATGGGGAGATGATAATAATTAAGGATTGATTGTCTGGTCCATCCGACTAGAATGACACTGTATACTCAGTTACTGAGGACAAGACAGTATTGATAATCAACTACTTTATTACAGATGAAGTTGAACATCCATACTGCCACCAGTCACGTGGCCCACGCCTGTATCCCACTCAAAGGGGTGTTATCAGTGTGTGTGTGTTTGACTGTTTCAGGTGGAGACGTCACGGAGCCCACGTCTATATCCCACTGAAAGCGGTGTTATCAGTGTGTGTGTGTTTGACTGTTTCAGGTGGAGACGTCACGGAGCCCACGTCTATATCCCACTGAAAGCGGTGTTATCAGTGTGTGTGTGTTTGACTGTTTCAGGTGGAGACGTCACGGAGCCCATGCCTATATCCCACTTAAAGGGGTGTTATCAGTCTCTGTGTGTTTGACTGTTTCAGGTGGAGACTTCACGTGGCCCACGTCTATATCCCACTCAAAGGGGTGTTATCAGTCTGTGTGTGTTTGACTGTTTCAGGTGGAGACGTCACGGAGCCCACGTCTATATCCCACTTAAAGGGGTGTTATCAGTCTCTGTGTGTTTGACTGTTTCAGGTGGAGACTTCACGTGGCCCACGTCTATATCCCACTCAAAGGGGTGTTATCAGTGTGTGTGTGTTTGACTGTTTCAGGTGGAGACGTCACGGAGCCAACGTCTATATCCCACTTAAAGGGGTGTTATCAGTCTCTCTGTGTTTGACTGTTTCAGGTGGAGACTTCACGTGGCCCACGTCTATATCCCACTCAAAGGGGTGTTATCAGTGTGTGTGTGTTTGACTGTTTCAGGTGGAGACGTCACGGAGCCCACGTCTATATCCCACTTAAAGGGGTGTTATCAGTGTGTGTGTGTTTGACTGTTTCAGGTGGAGACTTCACGTGGCCCACGTCTATATCCCACTCAAAGCGGTGTTATCAGTCTGTGTGTGTTTGACTGTTTCAGGTGGAGACGTCACGGAGCCCATGTCTATATCCCACTCAAAGGGGTGTTATCAGTGTGTGTGTTTGACTGTTTCAGGTGGAGACGTCACGGAGCCCATGTCTATATCCCACTTAAAGAGGTGTTATCAGTGTGTGTGTGTTTGACTGTTTCAGGTGGAGACGTCACTGAGTCCACGTCTATATCCCACTCAAAGAGGTGTTATCAGTGTGTGTGTGTTTGACTGTTTCAGGTGGAGATATCACGGAGCCCACGTCTATATCCCACTCAAAGCGGTGTTATCAGTGTGTGTGTGTTTGACTGTTTCAGGTGGAGACGTCACGGAGCCCACGTCTATATCCCACTCAAAGCAGTGTTATCAGTGTGTGTGTGTTTGACTGTTTCAGGTGGAGATGTCACGTGGCCCACGTCTATATCCCACTCAAAGGGGTGTTATCAGTGTGTGTGTGTTTGACTGTTTCAGGTGGAGACGTCACGGAGCCCATGCCTATATCCCACTTAAAGCGGTGTTATCAGTCTCTGTGTGTTTGACTGTTTCAGGTGGAGACTTCACGTGGCCCACGTCTATATCCCACTCAAAGGGGTGTTATCAGTGTGTGTGTGTTTGACTGTTTCAGGTGGAGATGTCACGGAGCCCACGTCTATATCCCACTTAAAGGGGTGTTATCAGTCTCTGTGTGTTTGACTGTTTCAGGTGGAGACTTCACGTGGCCCACGTCTATATCCCACTCAAAGGGGTGTTATCAGTGTGTGTGTGTTTGACTGTTTCAGGTGGAGACGTCACGGAGGCCACGTCTATATCCCACTCAAAGCAGTGTTATCAGTGTGTGTGTGTTTGACTGTTTCAGGTGGAGACGTCACGGAGCCCACGTCTATATCCCACTTAAAGGGGTGTTATCAGTCTCTGTGTGTTTGACTGTTTCAGGTGGAGACTTCACGTGGCCCACGTCTATATCCCACTCAAAGCGGTGTTATCAGTCTGTGTGTGTTTGACTGTTTGGGGGAGACGTCACGGAGCCCACGTCTATATCCCACTTAAAGCAGTGTTATCAGTGTGTGTGTGTTTGACTGTTTCAGGTGGAGACGTCACGGAGCCCACGTCTATATCCCACTTAAAGCGGTGTTATCAGTGTGTGTGTGTTTGACTGTTTCAGGTGGAGACGTCACGGGGCCCATGTCTATATCCCACTTAAAGAGGTGTTATCAGTGTGTGTGTGTTTGACTGTTTCAGGTGGAGACGTCACTGAGTCCACGTCTATATCCCACTGAAAGCGGTGTTATCAGTGTGTGTGTGTTTGACTGTTTCAGGTGGAGACGTCACGGAGCCCACGTCTATATCCCACTGAAAGCGGTGTTATCAGTGTGTGTGTGTTTGACTGTTTCAGGTGGAGACGTCACGGAGCCCACGTCTATATCCCACTCAAAGCGGTGTTATCAGTGTGTGTGTGTTTGACTGTTTCAGGTGGAGACGTCACGGAGCCCACGTCTATATCCCACTCAAAGCAGTGTTATCAGTGTGTGTGTGTTTGACTGTTTCAGGTGGAGACGTCACGGAGCCCACGTCTATATACCACTGAAAGCTGTGTTATCAGTGTGTGTGTGTTTGACTGTTTCAGGTGGAGACGTCACGGAGCCCACGTCTATATCCCACTTAAAGCAGTGTTATCAGTGTGTGTGTGTTTGACTGTTTCAGGTGGAGACGTCACGGAGCCCACGTCTATATCCCACTTAAAGCGGTGTTATCAGTGTGTGTGTGTTTGACTGTTTCAGGTGGAGACGTCACGGGGCCCATGTCTATATCCCACTCAAAGCGGTGTTATCAGTGTGTGTGTGTTTGACTGTTTCAGGTGGAGACGTCACGGAGCCCACGTCTATATCCCACTCAAAGCGGTGTTATCAGTGTGTGTGTGTTTGACTGTTTCAGGCGGAGACGTCACGGAGCCCATTTCTATATCCCACTCAAAGCGGTGTTATCAGTCTGTGTGTGTTTGACTGTTTGGGGGAGACGTCACGGAGCCCACGTCTATATCCCACTTAAAGCGGTGTTATCAGTGTGTGTGTGTTTGACTGTTTCAGGTGGAGACGTCACGGAGCCCACGTCTATATCCCACTCAAAGGGGTGTTATCAGTGTGTGTGTTTGACTGTTTCAGGTGGAGACGTTTTGGTGCTTTAAGAACTACATGGAGAAGATTGAGTATGACTTCTCAGAGGAGGGGATGGTGAAGAAAATAGGTAGGCCGACACTGTGCAGGGTGCTAGTGGGGTTAGAGTATTTAACTTTGTCCTTGTGTTTTGTGTATGATGTACCTTTGTGGTGTTCCATGTGGTGTTCCACGTGGTGTTGTGTGTTGTTCTGTGTGGTGTTCCATGTGGTGTTCCATTGTGGTGTTCCTTTATGGTGTTCTCTGTGGTGTTCAATAATTTGTTCTGTGTGGTATTCCATTGTGGTGTCCTGTGTGGTGTTCGATATGGTGTTGTGTGGTGTTCAGTGTGGTGTTCCATTTTCTGTGCAGTGTGGTGTTCAATGTGGTGTTGTGTGGTGTTGTATGTGGTGTTCCCTGTGGTGTTCCATGTGGTGTTGTGTGTTGTTCTGTGTGGTGTTCCATGTGGTGTTCCATTGTGGTGTTCCTTTATGGTGTTCTGTGTGGTGTTCCATGTGGTGTTCCATGTGGTGTTCCATGTGGTGTTGTGTGTTGTTCTGTGTGGTGTTCCATGTGGTGTTCCATTGTGGTGTTCCTTTATGGTGTTCTGTGTGGTGTTCCATGTGGTGTTCCATTGTGGTGTTCTGTGTGGTGTTCGATGTTTTGTTCTGTGTGGTGTTCCTTTATGGTGTTCTGTGTGGTGTTCCATGTGGTGTTCCATTGTGGTGTTCTGTGTGGTGTTTGATGTTTTGTTCTGTGTGGTGTTCCTTTATGGTGTTCTGTGTGGTGTTCCATGTGGTGTTCCATTGTGGTGTTCTGTGTGGTGTTCAATGTTTTGTTCTGTGTGGTGTTCCTTTATGGTGTTCTGTGTGGTGTTCAATGTTTTGTTCTGTGTGGTGTTCCATGTGGTGTGCCATGTGGTGTTCAGTGTGGTGTTCCATGTGGTGTTCCATGTGTTGTTCTGTGTGGTGTTCAATGTGGTGTTGTGTGGTGTTCCATGTGGTGTGCCATGTGGTGTTCGATGTGGTGTTAATGTGGTGTTCAGTGTGGTGTTCCATTTAGTGTTCCATGTGGTGTTCTGTGTGGTGTTCCGTATGGTGTTCCATGTGGTGTTCAGTGTGGTGCTCTGTGTTGTGTTCAATATGGTGTTTAGTGTTGTGTTCTGTGTTTCAGATCTAGTCAGGATGCTACTCAGTGAGGTGGACCCAGTCTTGCTACGACATTTTGAAGTTCACGAACTTGGCAACCTCTTCTTTTGTCACAGGTACGGCCACTGTCATACAAAAGAGGATTTGTCAATAATTTTGAAGTGATCTTTCTGTGTATTGACACTACCATAAAATAAATTCCTTCATTAACTGTTAGAAACTGAAAAATACCTAAAACTTGACAATAATTAAAACACAAATTCTCACCTTGAAATTTCCATAGTGTCCTTCAGTACGCCCATTTAAGAATTGGATCCGTGAAGAGCCGGGGTAGAATAGCTCTTCAGCAACCCATGCTTGACGTAAAAGGCGACTATGCTTGTCATAAGAGGCAACTAATGGGATCGGGTGGTCAAGCTCGCTGACTTGGTTGATGCATGTCATCAATCCCAATTGCATGGATCGATGCTCATGATATCAATCACTGGATTGTCTGGTCCAGACTTGATTATTTACAGACCACCATCATATAGCTGGAATATTTGAATGTGACAACAAACCAACCAACCGTTTAAGAATTGACATCCGCGTCTTCACCTCTGTGGAATGCGTAGTGGATTTACACTAGGAGTGCACTCTGTTTTTTCATACTTATACCATCATAAATGCAAAAAATATTTAAGTCTGTTCTTATTTATAAATAAGCAACAATAACAGCTTCAAAGACAGCTTATTTAAGCTACAGACCCTTTAGACAATGATACGCAATCAGTGACACCTTTTCATGTGGGGGCACTGGTGGCCCAGTCGTCTAAGGCGCCGCGATTCGCTGTGCAGAGTTGCGTCCCTTGGTCACGCCAGAAACCTATGATTGTGGGTTTGAATCTCGGTTCGCCCCGATTATATTTCTAGGTTTGTCAGCACCATACCCGTGCTCGTGGGTTTCACCGAAGTGGTAAACGTCTGAGACCTGCATCACCTCGGGCTTTCCTCCAACATTAAGCTGACACGCCGTGATATAACTGGAATACTGTTAAAAGCGGCGTTAAACCCAACTCACTCACTCACTCACTCACTCACTCACTCACTCACTCACCTTTGAATGTAATAGTGCAACACAAGCCCCACCCCCCTGTTAACAGCCAATAAGGTAACTGTATTTCAGTGGGCGTGACCTAATTATATTTTTGCTTCAGGGAATCATAAATGAAAAATTCAATTGCCTGGTTAGTCAATCAAATGTCTTGGAATCACTTGCTACTTATTTATTTTGTAATAGTAGTAAGCCTACTCAGCAACGATTAAATCTATAATTTCACCATTGTTTTCGAGTAGTAAGAACAGGCATCAAATACACAATAACAACCTCAGATCTAAACCCATGATTATTCCTGTCTTTGTTTATCTTTACAGGTGGTTGTTGCTGGGCTTCAAACGAGAGTTCAGTTTCATGGACTCCTTGCGATGTTTTGAGATTCTGTCGAGTCATCATTTAGAGTTATCTTCCCTTGAGGCAGAGAAGGCCCTCAGGAAAGAAGAAATGTTGGAATTTGCCAATACAGGTTTGCAGGATACTTCGCAATTATAGTTAATGTGATCCCAATTATGTATATCCGGTCAAGATAAAATATTTTTATTCCGAAATCTTGTTCAACTTAAATAATTGGCGCATGATCTTAAAGGGCGTAACCTGTTAAAGGTACTGAGTATCATGGAAATGAGCAAACTTTAATGTTTCGAAATGAATCACTGTCGGCAACAAACACTTTCCTGGTCAGTTATTTTTTCAGTTGATTACTAAGGTTTACGATATTCACGACATTCATGACATTCACATAAGTATCAGCCCAACCCTACTCTGGCGATGTCCTGGATATAATCTTGTCCTTCTAAACTAGTGGTTGACATCATGAACAACAATCTCCTGCACACTGTGACTGGGGAACGCCAAATACTTTTCTGTTTGAATGATTAAAGCTGATCAAAATTGAAGATTACATAAGCTGACATTTCTATTCTGGTAAGAAATACACTCAATGTTTGGAGTGTCACTTGTTGATTTTCTTCAATCTGACATTGAAATCTCAGCCTGGGATCTCCATATTCAGGCTTCGGACCTCAATTCGTGTTGATATATCTGAATGAAGAATTTTATTTTTTTCGGATATTGTTTGAACATTGTAATAAGACATTAACTAAACACTTACCTCTATATATTCGAGGAAAACAGTTTTGCGATGACCAAGCTTGTGCTTGTGTCGCGTTGTCTGCTTGAAGAGAGGCATAAGAACGGAGTACCCTCTATGAGAAATTGTCAAGTTAGAGTAGCGTCCTCCTGAAAATAATATCTGGAATGCAACAACTTTCGGCAAACGTATGAATTCCGACCGCGACACTGCAAACCATTGTTAACGTCAGGCCAACGTCAGAATGCTATCTGGAAAATGTATAAATGAGAGTCCCTTGGACTCGAAAATTGATTGACATGTAGGGGGAATAGCTTTTAATAGCTTTATTGATTGGTTGAAAAAGATCACGCATACTGTGGCCTAGTGTTCTATCTCCCATGTTGTAAGAAAGATATAGAGACACAAAATAAAGCGGTTGAATGGGAACCCACTTTCGTCTTTATTGAACTTACAAATACCTGCTTGAATAAAATATACACTCCTCATTCGGTGGCCCAGGTTTTTGGTAAATCACACTTTGTGACCAACCAAACCCCAGGGGTTGTCTATTACTGCCAGTATGGGGAATTGGGGAGATGCTATGCCCTGAAACCTGCTTGAGTTGACCTACGAGTGTGTTTACCTGTAAGAGAAGGGTGTTCACTGTCTTCAGGTGGAGACACGCGAACAACCCAGATGCCCCAGAAGGAATACACGTTCGAGGTGTTCATGTGTGCAGCGCTGCTGATGGAGTTCCGCGATGCTCTGTTCGACTGTAAGGACACTGGGATGGTGTTCACTTGTGTCAATGGGTAAGTGAAGTTGTGGATGACCATCAGTCTGGTCTGTCTGTTTGACTGTGATGACACTGGGATGGTGTTCCCCTGTGTCAATGGGTAAGTGAAGTTGTGGATGAACGTCAGTCTGTCTGTCTATCTGACTGTAAGGACACTGGGATGGTGTTCCCCTGTGTCAATAGGTAAGTGAACTTGTTGATGAACGTCAGTCTGTCTGTTTGTTTGACTGTAAGGACACTGGGATGGTGTTCACCTGTTTCAGTGGGTAAGTGAACTTATAGATGAACGTCAGTCTATTCTAAGAAATTGTACATCAACCATAACATGGTTTAAGTTGGAGAGGTCACCCGAATCTGAAGGGGCTTGTTGATTCTTCTTCCATAATCAACACATCAAGTGATTCCTCCATTTCTATATTATGACTAATCGTCTCTACAATAATTCATAATGACTAATGTGTTTTAAACAGGCTCTAGTGTCTGTCCTGCTGAGGTGTATTAAACAGGCTCTAGTGTCTGTCCTGCTGAGGTGTATTAAACAGGCTCTAGTGTCTGTCCTGCTGAGGTGTATTAAACAGGCCCTAGTGTCTGTCCTGCTGAGGTGTATTAAACAGGCCCTAGTGTCTGTCCTGCTGAGGTGTATTAAACAGGCCCTAGTGTCTGTCCTGCTGGGTGTATCACAGCTGGAAATGCATGAACGTCTTAGACAATGATGCAGCCGTTGTGTTCCAGGTTGAAGTTTGAGCTGGACGACATCCTGACCAAGTCGGAGCGGCTGTTTTTCATGTACTGCCGTAAGACGGTGGAGGACAGCTTCCACCTGGTGGAGGACACGCCCAAGGAGGAGATGTCTCTCCAGCAGAAGCTACTTAACAAGCTGAAAGGAAATACTCAATGAAGCCACGTCGTGATTGTCATGTTTGTCATGGTTCATGTCATTTTTATTATCAGGGATTTATCTAGACCAAACCAGAGGCCAGTATCAGACCCCAACTCTGCAGCAAATGTCATTAAGAATACTCAAATTGGAATAACAAAATTCCCAATTTATTTTAATCTATATAACTAATAACTAGTGTTTGTTTAATCTATATTACTAATATTTATAGATGTAACCTACATTTCAACAAGACCCTTAGAGAGGAAAAGGTTTTAATGCTTAATTTTGTATAATTGCTATCTCAAAATATAATGACTACATACCTCTCAATTTGAAAAATAAGAATTTAGATAAAATCCCAACAGAACACAATTGTTCCAGAGACGCTAAGTTTAGAATCCTTGATAACTCCCTGTTGTTTGTATCGTGTGTATCACTTGCAAAAAAGAAAACACATGTTTGTTGACATTGTAAATACAAACATCGTTCAGACTTTTCACGGATATCATTGAATATCCATGCTATGTATTATGTGTATTTGTTTGAAAGAGGTTTTAGTATCATGTGCGTATTTCTTTGAAAACGGTTTTCTCACTGATTTCAGTGAATATTCACAATATGTATCATATGTGTATTTGTTTGAAAGAGGTTTTATCACTGATTCCAAAGAATATTCACAATATGTATCATATGTGTACTTGTTTGAAAGAGGTTTTATCACTGATTCCAAAGAATATTCACAATATGTATCATATGTGTACTTGTTTGAAAGAGGTTTTATCACTGATTCCAAAGAATATTCACAATATGTATCATATGTGTATTTGTTTGAAAGAGGTTTTATCACTGATTCCAAAGAATATTCACAATATGTATCGGGGGATATGTATATGTATACATATATGTATATGGTCGTGGGTTTGAATCCCAGTTTTTCAGCACCATACCCGTGCTCATCGTTTTCACCAAAGTGGAAAATGTCTGAGACCTGCGTCACTTGGGGCTTTTCTCCCACATTAAGCTGACCCGACGTGATATAGCTGTTAAACTGTTGAAGCAGTGTTAAACTCACTCCCTCACCATGTAATTTTGTTTGTATTTGTTTGAAGGAGGTTTCAGTACTGATTCCAGTGAATATTCACCATAGGTATTGTGTGTGTATTTGTTTCAAATAGGTCTCTTCACAAATTCCAGTGAATATTCACAATATCTATCATGTGTGTATTCGTTTCAAAGAGGTCTTTCCACAGATTCGAATGAATATTCACACAATAAACTTTGTAGGTGACAGCCAGTTCCACATACAAAAACATTGTTTAATTAATTTTTTTCTGTCCCAAAAATTCCACCAATTTATGCCCTTTATCCTGGAAACAAATATGTTTTAGAATGCTGGTTCTGGTTAATTTCATTTTCAGTGTTTGTCAGTGATAAAAATGTAATTTTCTTTCAAGCGACGACACTGCAGGTGTATTGGATGACACACCTTGAAAATATCGGGGCTAGTATTAAACACATTGTGTAATTATAGATGACGCCCCATCATTTATACTCTTGTAAATATTGTCGGGCAATGGCAATTTGTCTGAATGTACTTCTGTCATCATTGGGGGCAAGGGTGGCCCAGTCGTCTAAGGCGCCGCGATTTGCTGTGCAGAGTTGCGTCCCTTGGGCACGCCAGAAACCTATGATTGTGGGTTTGAATCCCGGTTCGCCCTGATTATGTTTCTAGGTTTGTCAGCACCATACCCGTGCTCGTGGGTTTCACCGAAGTGATAAACGTTTGAGACCTGCATCACTTCGGGCTTTCCTCCCACATTAAGCTGACATGCCGTGATATAACTGGAATACTGTTAAAAGTGGCGTTAAACCCAACTCACTCACTCACTCAAATGTTTAGATGTGCCCTTTGGAAGTGAAGGTTACCAACAAGAACAACACTTTGACTCATCTTCCTCCTCAGCGAATGTCTTTCTACCAAGAACTGGTTTGTCCCCTTCCTTTCATTGAGATTGATAATACCCTCGGATTATTTGGTTGCTTGGTTTGTTGTTTAACGCCGCACTCAGCAATATTCCAGCTATATTTACAGCGGTCTGTAAATTATCGAGTCTGGACCAGACAATCCAGTGATTGACATCATGAGCATCGATCCACGCAATTGGGATTGATGACATGCATCAAGCAAGTCAGCGAGCCTGACCACCCGTGAATCCTACTGTCCATTAAGTATCGGTCTGTTCATATGTTCAGTTCTACTGAAAAATATGATTCCACATGCGCTTTTCAGACACCAGGAACGTAATTTTAACCGTGACCTACCGATTTTAACAATGCACTGTAATACAAGGCATTTGGAACAGTTTTCCCAGTTTGTTTTTGTGAAGGTGTGTTTCTGAACCCTTCATGTTTTGAACAGTAAAACCTTCTGCAGTAACTCTAGACACAGTAACAAGATGTTTAAAGCAGAAATCATTTGGATATTATGTCATTAGCTTATGTTTAGGTCATATGACTCAAGTTTAAGTATTATTCGTTCACCTGAGTTTCTAATCATTAACTTGTCTTTGAGTAAAACTATTAGAACTAACCGTATTTGGAATCTGGGACTCTGTGACTGGGTGGATGACACATCACTGTGCCCAGGTGCAGATGCAGGAAGCTTTGCTCATGAGGTCAATCACTGGTTTGCCATTTGTGTAGATCAGCGCTCATGGTGTCAATCATTGATTTGCCATTTGCATAGATCGGTGCTCATGTCAATCACTAATTTGGCATTTGCATAGATCGGTGCTCATGAGGTCAATCACTGGTTTGCCAATTGTGTAGATCAGTGCTCTTGATGTCAATAACTAATTTGCCATTTGTGTAGATGCAAGCTCATGATGCCAGTCACTGGTTGACCATTTGCAAAGATCGATAATCATGAAGTCAATCACAGATTTGCCATTTGTGTAGATTGATGCTCTTTCTATTAATCACTGGTTTGCCTGGTCGAGGCTCATTCACAAGCCGCTGTTATACTGCTTGAATACTGCAGACGGCAAACATCTCTCACTCACCCACAACGTAAGATTCATCCCTAGTGTCATCCCTAAAGTGAGCAAACTCTGTGATTTCATTATTGTAATAAATTACCCCACATCATGTCTTGTTGCCATGGGGCTTTTTTTATTCCATTTATTTAAGTGTTGGGACACAATAAGAAAACCCTTATTGCAGTGTCAAGATTATTTTTTACAGAAATCCATACATGACATTTATTGAAGAGTGTTGATTTTACGACTTTACGAACACCAAACCTTTTGTGTATTTGTTCTCTGCACCATGGAAACCTGGGTGAGAATTGGCCTTCAGCAACCCTTGTATGTAGTAAGTAGCGGCCATAAGGTGATCATGCTTGCTCATAATCAAATCAGGGGGCACGGTTTGCCCAGTCGTCTAAGGCGCCGCGATTCGCTGTGCAGAGTTGCGTCCCTAGGGCACGCCAGAAACCTATGATTGTGGGTTCGATCCCGGTTCGCCCCGATTATGTTTCTAGGTTGTCAACACCATACCTGTGCTCGTGGGTTTCACCGAAGTGGTAAACTTCTGAGACCTGCATCACTTCGGGCTTTCCTCCCACATTAAGCTGACACGCCCTGATATAACTGGAATACTGTTAAAAGCGGCGTTAAACCCAACTCACTCACTCACTTTGTCATCATTTTGACCATTACTCAAGATATGTTAATTAGTTCTTCCTGAGACGTTGAACATTTATCCAGCTAGTACCACGTTTTTTAAGATTTATGTTTCACAAATTTATTCCAGCTTTTCCACACAAGGCCAGTCAAAATATAAAAAATAATAGCTGCGTATATTTATTTATTTGCAGCTGTCTTCTTGAATCACTAATAACATGGAATTTATATGTAACATTTTATTTTGTATGGGTCTGTATTACTAGCAGGAGTCATAATAAAAATAAATATTTTTATGTTTATTTTATATCTTAGACTGGCTGCTTTTCAGTAGGGGCGGCAGGCTCGTGAAACATAAAATAAAAAATAAGTAGCCGAATAGTAAAGTTGTGCCACTTTTATAAATAATATCCATTATTTTCTTACAACATTGTAAGTTTCCAAGAGGAAGAAAAAACATCTTGACAGAACTTGGCGCCACCATCAACCTTGTGATAAGCATGATGAGACTGTACATCCGACTGTAGGGCATTTTGAAATGTTTGAATTAAATACGTCTGTCTTGAAACTTGTCCTTTTACTTCAAGATTTGTGCACAGAGCCAGGGTAATTACTGTATTTGACGTAATAAGCGCCCAGGGAGCTCTGAAAATTAGAAATAGGGGGGTTCTTATTAGAATGTTATTTTGGTGAAAAAAACAGTTGAAAGATAAATTTTGTGGTTTATCCTGACAGCCTGAAATGTTTATGTACGACAGATATATTTTTCCAGAATTAAATGCCACTAATTAAGGGTGCATATAACACACGAGTGCGTATTATACGCGATTAAATAAGTCTTGTGTACATTGATCAATCGGAAGGGGTGCTAATTGGGATTGTTCACTAGCCAATATCTTAGCAAATGTCGCCGTGGGCGCTTATTGCGTCGAATACGGTATGTTGTTTGCTGATGACTCTTGTTGTCTATGGGCGTACGATTAACTTGTAAGGTTTCATAAAGATTAAGGTAAATGGTTGTAAATGCGGCAAGCAAGAGTCGGGATCACTCAATCAGTGATCTTGTTGAAAGGTTCCTTCAGTGTATACTGTCTGTAGTGATAGTACCATAGTGTCATGTTATCTCACTTTCAAGTCTTGTTGAAATCCTGCTAACTTTGGACAAATGTCAAGGGTGCTGCAATTTGATGTGCAGAGTTGCATCCCTTAGGTGAGACAGAGACCTGATTGTTGGTTCGAATCCCAGTTTGCCCCAATTATGTTTCTAGGTTTGTCAGCACTATACCAATGATTGTGGGTTCGCTAAACTGGTAGACGTCTAAAACCAGCATCCAGGGATTTATCTAGACCTGCTCAGAGGCCGATATTCAGCCCTGAGTCTGCAGCAAATGTCAGTAAGAACTGGAATAACAAAATTCCCAAATTTGTTATGATAGTTGTAATCATATTATGGCTTTGCAGAGATGATTTATTTTTCTCTAATAACAGGACCATTGAAATGTCATTAGTTTTACATAAATGGATTGAATACATGTAGTTAAAATACTTTTAAATCTAAAAATAAAAATAAAATTTTGGAACAAATTGTATGTTTTCGTAATTTGGCTGCCAAAGCTATTGAGCTTGTAGTCCCAGATAATTCCTGTAGCATCCTGTAACCAACATCTGAACCAAACTGCAAGTAATCTTTATGAGGGGCGCCTCATCTCTATGGCTATTCCTTGTTAAAATTGACCTTTGGGAATGTTATGTAAGTTTTGGAATATCTTAGGTCTGACATCGAGTGAGTGAGTTGGGTTTTAATGCCGATTTGAACAGTATTCCAGTTAAATCGTGGCATGTCAGCTTAATGTGGGAGGAAAGACCGAAGTAGTGCAGGTCTCAGACGTTTACCACTTCGGTGAAACCCACGAGCACGGGTATGGTGCTGACAAACCTAGAAACCTAATCGTGGTGACCCGGGATTCAAACCCACAATCATAGGTTTTCGCCGTGCCTTTGACGACTGGGCCACCTGTGCCCCTCACATCGATGTATAGAGCTTACTGAAAGTGGACTTCATTGGGTCGCAGCAATCTATAGTGGATTAGGTGGGCAGGATGGTGACTGGTTAATTTGATGGTCATGACATCTTTGTGCTGTTGATCCTTGCTCATGATATCAATCATGGGTTTGTATGGTCCCGAACTGAATATTTACAACTGTCGTCACATAGCTAGCATATTAACAACTCACAACCTATAAGTGCCTCCTACTTAGCCTAATAGTTTTTAAGCTTTTCTTGTGCATAGCTGTGTGAAAGGGTGCATACTATCAATGCAGACATTGAGTTTTGACTTTTTTCTCAAAGGGAAAACATTACAGCTAGCGCTTGACACTGGAAATAGCATGTTAGCATCTGTATTGAGGCTATTAGTACTGTTATTACCGTGTTGTATTATTCAAATGGTCAACAGTGTGTCTGTGCTTTTGAATGTATGTCAGTTCTCTATACTCTTGAAGGAAACATCTTCCACATGTTCAAGTAACAAGTCGTCCTAGAAATGTGAGATTGATATCAACTTGCATGTCCTCTGTGCCTCATTCCTGCTCACTGAATGTTGTATATAGATGATGATGATGATGATGATGATGATGATGAGTATTTGTACTGTGTGCTTCACGTGTGTGGGTCGCTGTGTATTTCATATGAAGGACTTGTGTGAGGATATAAGATGTTACGCATTCAAGCTTTAATAAAAATATTTCAAGATATTATTTAGTTGTGATACCTGGTACATGAATACATCAAATACGTGGTGACGACTGGTACGTGGCGACGACTGGTACATGGAGACAACTGGTACATGGAGACAACTGGTACGTGGAGACAACTGGTACGTGGCGACGACTGGTACGTGGCGACGACTGGTACATGGAGACAACTGGTACATGGAGACAAATGGTACATGGAGACAACTGGTACATGGAGACAACTGATACATGGTGACAACTGGTACATGGAGACAACTGGTACATGGTGACAACTGGTACATGGAGACAGCT